ACTGTCAATATTTCCAAAACAGTTGAACTTAGGTATAGGGTATATCACATGAAATCTGCTCAGAATTTTACGTAGAATCCAAATATGCAATCACATACAGGGTGTTTTATTTGAAAAAAAGAAAGTTGGTCTAGATAGCAAACAAACCAGAAGTGACACAGACAATACGTTTAAGTAGAATTGTGGGAAATATTAGGGACATAAAGCTACTTGAAATAATTCATCGGTATCGGTATCCGTAACGCAACTAGATACGTTGACAAGTGAAAAGGCTGTTAAAGCGCTCCCTGTTCCGGTAAACGTAAACGCATTTCATAACCTAGACATTTTTGTCTCAAAACTTCGGCGTTTTTATATCTAACCTTAAAATTGTTATTTTTTTTGCGATAGAGAAGCACTAAACACACAAGAAACTCAAGAAAGTATAAACTAAACAAATTAAATCAACCCGGAAGAAAAGGGAGGTTATATTCATTTGAAATTTGACACATGCGTCAGGAATGTCAAGATACGTTACCGATACGGATACCGCGAGAGGGCCGTAACGTTACGTTGTACACGGTATCTCGGCCTCCGTATCGCTTCTGCACATGCGCAGTACGATACCGATACGGATACCGAGCAAAAAATACGGAAGCTTTATGTCCCTAATTTACTGAGCAACTTTCATTAAGGTCACTTTTTCGTATACGAGGTAATTAGAAAGTTACAGGTATTATACGCGACTTTTTTGCCACTCTGTATATTTAAGTCGTTTTTTTATTATTTCTTATCTGAGCCTGAGGCCCTGATGGATCGCCCCCCCCTAGAAGGAATCCTAAATCCGCCGCTGCCCTCTCCTCAAGACAAAATCCTGGCTACTCCAATGGTGTTGCCGGAGTCGAATACTCGAATATAGCCGGGCTGCAAGAAATCCACGAATTTTAATAATATACAGGGACGATCATGATCCAGAATGGCGATCCTGCAGTGAAATTGTTATCTGTCATACTTAAATAATGCGGGGTCATATACCTACAGTTCCAAACTGGTCAATGTCGTCCATTACGTTATTGCCCTTGTACCCCTACACATTTATCAAAAATTTTGTAACTTTTCTCAAACCAAAAGTTTCTTAATTGCCCACAAAGAACAATAAACAATTATACACACTCTCTACTACTTACTATAAATTAATTTAAAACAAAAAACATCTACAAGGAAGTAAGGAATAATTCATACAGGGAGGGCGTTACAAAACAGGAAGGAAATCTAGACAAAATTTTTACAGACTGGCTGGTTCATGCTGCAAATTAACAAGTAGTTTTGCGTTAACATCCTTGAGACTTTGTCTATATCTAAATGGAATTGCTAATTTTTTGAATACAAATTGTTTTAACAAACGTAAATTTTATAGGGCTAATAGTTTTACATAGTTAACATAGTTAAATCGATAGTTAAAAATAGCTATTCAGCAACAGGTTGAGAAAAGAACACGTATTTTTATGGCCATATCATTACTCAGGTAGATATACGTGGCCTTTTAAATTAATAATACATCAGGAACAATAAATTGAATGGGAAATACTTCAATTTTTAAAGAAAATTGCTTGAGCATTTTTACACTAATAATTTTAATTAAATTAAATGCACCACTAAACATTTTCAGTTGATTGCAAATAATTGAAAAGCCTTGATAATGTTAAAGCATTTTTTTTTTTTTGGGTTGTTAATTGAATTGTTCTGTTTATAATACAAAAATTAACCTTCGTATAGAAAAACTACCTACGTCTTTGAATTAGTGTTAAAATAATTGAACAAACTAAAATTTTAGATGCATCCAATCAAGTCAAAATTTTGAAAACAACAGCTAGAAAATTATGGGTTCATGATTCAAGAATTTACACATCATGACTCAATCACATAAAGATTCTATAATAGTCAAGTTTCTATGAAAGCAACTTTGTCTCTAAAATTGATTCATGATGACTCAAAAGTTAATAGTGGAAACTTTAAAGAATTATGAATTAATTCAGAAAACTTTGAAAGGTTGGCTCAATCCTATGAGGATTCTACTAGTCAAGTTTCTATGACTTATGGTCTTATGACTCAGGAAATTAACACACACTTAATTCAATCTGAATATTTTTGGATAAAAACAACCAAACCTAATTCACAAACTCAATCTCAACCAAGACAATATTAACCAGGAAAGTATAAAAGTCCTGCGTCTCTGATAATACATAAATATAATTATCAATGAGCACGTGGGCCAGCTTTTAATAAATCAAATAAATTATCCAATTACCACGCATTTTTTTTTTATAATCGGAATCAAAAACAATTAATTGTTAGATATCATTGTCCGTCATCTACGAAACGTTTTTCATTGACCCTAGTCGACCAACCATAAAACATGGTCAATGCTATATGTACACTCAACTTTGTTGCAGCGTTATTTTAATTTTAATAACTTTTTTTTTCAATTCTAATATGTATATGATTCATAAAAATTTCGTAATCTGAATTATTAAAAAGGAATTTAATTTATGTTAAGGTTTATGGAGATCAGAAATTATTAATAATTTCAAGTTTTGCATGAATACTATGCAATGTTTCTTTTTCTTATAGGCCTTTCCCTTTTCTCGCCTGCAAACCCTATTCTGAAAGCCACTGGTGGTCTGATGTTGATCTATGATTGATCTGTGTCTATATTTTATCAGTTCTGAGCTTTTTGTCTATCTGATGTTTTCATTATGTTATCATAATATTCCTGTCTTGACATTTCTCTGATGTTTTAGTACTTTCCAGGTTTGCCTTATGCATATCAAAATTCATCGATATTTGGTTAGGTATATCTTATTGATTTTGTATCTAACTTCCATGCATCAACCTTTTCTACTAGAATTATCATTACCAGTATCAATTTAATGTTAATCTTCAAGAATTATCACTGTCAGTAGATTTTCCTTCAAAATCACTGCCAACTTGTTTTTTTGCTATACTCATTGTGAAGTCATAAATCGTTTTCTTCTCCATAACAAAATATAGAGAAGAATACCCATATGTTGATGTCCCCATTTTGTTTCGTTTTTATTTCATTATTTATCACTTTTTAGTCCGTGGACGAACTTGAAGAACGTCAAAAATGGGAGTCGCTCACCTACTAAACGAACCGAAGATTTATAACCGTCATATAAATGTCTTGTGTTGCATATCAAGGCATTGCGTAAAATTTTGCACAATGCAATTTTGGAAAGGTATATACATACCTACTTACGCACTACGTTTGTATAATAAATTATGTAAATATGTGCAGTTATAAATAGATAGGTGAGCTATAGTAAAATATAGTATAGATAACACAATCTCTTCCATGCAAATTTTGCCATCCATCTTCTCTTGAAGATTTTTTTGATAACTGAAATAAAATTTCCATCATAGTTATATTCTTATGGAAATCAGTCAACAAAATGACTAACATCTCCAAATAAAAATCGCCTATAATTTATTGGCCCCTCATAGCCTCGAATATCAACGACTTCCGACAATACCATCTGAAGGATTCCTCACCATGAAACGGGTTCAACACACCTCCATAAGGTTATAATACATTACAATAAACCTACCACGCTTAAAAAAATTATCTTAAGAGATTATGTAATATGGTTTTAATACTTTATAATGATGTTTGAATCAAAGATTTGGTTTGTTAATGAAAAATCAGGTGCAATTTGAGCAAAGAAAATTTGTTTAAGCTTTCCCTTGCATAACTGTTAAATTTACGCAATATATTATACATTGAAAATCCAACCAAGTAGCTCAATATTACCATATAAGTGCCATTGGTAGTGTGGTAGGTCCAAAAATAGACAACCTGTGCAATAAATTATTTTCGTAGGTAAAGATCTAAGGTAATTTGTATGGCGTGTGGGTCGCTTATGATATAACCAATCCACTTTCTCTTATGGTTTCAAAAAGGAATGTGGGATCATATAAAAACACCAATTTATTTTTCTTTTATATCAGGGAATTTTATCATTTCTGTATTGCAAAAAATTACTTTGTTGATTTATTGTCAACCGGTACCTACGTACTTCTTACAAAGAATCCAAATCCAAAAGATTTGAGCCTTGTGGTGCCACCTAGTATCTAGTAACGGTATTTTGGAATGGTTACTATAGTACCACATTGTTACTGCTAGTACCATCTATCAAAAGATAGACGAAACACTATCCAGGTATTTACGTGTTTTATCGGATTGTAAAAATCATAGCACCGTTATGTTTGACTATTTTTCCATAAAGTTTTAGTATGTTTAAGCTGGAAGCTTCCCTAATAAATGAAAAAATATTTGATTCCTCCCAGGTTTTACAGATTTCCAGAAAAAAATCAAAAAGTAGACCATTGACTCTAATGCAGAAATATCACTCAGCGTGCTTTATCGGTTTGTAAAAATTGTAGCTCCGTTATCCTGGGCTATTTCTCTATGAAATTTCAATATGTTGAAGCTGAAAGCTTCCTTGATAAGTAAAAAAATTATTGGTTTCTCCAGGTTTCCTAAATTACCAGAAAAAAAAACAAAAATTAAACCATTGCAGGGGCGTGGCAAGGATAGTGGGTCTGTGTATATTTCTATAATTTTTTCTGTATGGCACCTTTCAGATAAAATGTCTGGCTACGCCACTGATAACTTCACTACTCTTCATATTTTGATTTTTTTAATCCAATATCTCTCCTTCCAAAAACTGAAGAACCCATAAAACTATATGTTTTCATAATGCATAATCGAGCTAAAAGTTTTACTTTTAACCGCTATTTCGGCATAATAATGATGATAAAAACAATAAATGAAATTATTATGGGAAAAAATAATCGAATCATTTACATAAGGGCATACAAAAGGAAAATTACCCGCATTTTATGCAAATTCACTTTCACAGTTTTCTACTAGTTTAGTCTTGATGCGACCCAACAAACAACAGCACATCCTAAGTTTTGTGAAGTGAAAATTTGAAAAAATGAATTTCAACTTATCCGAATTTGGAAGTAAGTAAAGATTTTTATGTAAAAACAAGTTTTTATTATTATACTTTTAGATTTTTCAAAGCCAGACATGCAACCAACCCATCATCATCACCGTCAAGGTAGATTTTTAGGGCCGTTAATAGGTTTTTTCCTGGCAAGTCTTTTCCCAAATCTGGCTATAGCAAAACTGCAACAAGGCTCTATAAAATTCCAATACGATCCCATACCCAACAATCCCATAATCAACATTTATCAAGCAACTCGAAGACCGCACATAAATTCAACTACTCATCATGAACAATTGGAACCAATAATTTTCTCTCATCAGCATCATCAGTTATTAGAACCGATTGAAGATCATCATAATTTTCCTAATTTCGTAACAAACTTGGAAAGTCCGCATGATTATTTAGTACCACCCAAGCCAGAGCAAAAATACCTTGCAAAAAGAGCCATTTCTTCACGCTACAACCGCTTCACAGCTACCAATAACCGGAGACGCTTTCCAGAATACGATTACTACGATTATCCCAGAATCAAAAATACCAACATCAGACGAAGAAACCAAGGAAGACGTCCTTTATTTGACTACGAATATGATTACGACTACGACTATGGAAAATCCAAAAAACGTAAGCAACAACAAAAAAGACGAAACAATAAAAATAAACAACCAAACAGAAGAGATCCTGATTATTATGATACTGATTACGATGACGATGTCGAAAGGGTTACTTCCTTCAAACCAAGACAACAGCAGCAGCAAGATACTACCACAACACCCGCAACAACTACCATGCAAACCACCACAATGCCTTCTACCACAATTATTCAAAACGGCTCTACTCCTAGTCCTGGGAATAATACATCAGGATATGGTAAGCATATATGTATTCTTAAAAGTGATCTTTATAGATTTTTTTTTTATACAGGCTACGGTCCATACAGTGGCAACGAAAACGTTAGCATAACTTATGGACCACCATCAGCCATCAAACCTGTTTATGGAGTACCAGGACAAAGTTATGGAATTCCTGGACAAAGCTATAGTGAATGGGTTCCAAATAGCTACCTCTACGAGTCTCCAAGTACTTCTTATGTTTACCCTAGCAGCGTTACTTACGGACTACCCAGCTCGAGTTCACCTTACTCTAGCGTTTCTTATGCCTCACCAACTTACAGTAAGCCTTCTTCAAGCTATGGCCCTCCAAGTACTTCTTATGGGGTTCCTAGTCAAACATATGGAACACCTAGTCAAAGTTATGGGACACCTAGTCAGAGCTATGGAACACCTAGTCAGAGTTATGGAACACCCAGTCAGAGTTATGGAATACCTAGTCAGAGTTATGGAACACCAAGTAGCCAAACGGGTTCAAGGGTTGGCTATCAAAGTTACCAGTTGCCTTTTAGTAGTTGGTTTGGTAGGAGTGGTAGTCAAAGTCATAGTGATTCGGTGGGACGTATTCAGGATTTGTTTTGACTTTAATGATTAAGGATTAATATGCACATTAATTTTTCTTTCTAGAGGCTTGGCAATAGAGTTGATTTTTAGTAATTATTTTAAACTAATAAAATATTATTTATAATTTGCATTGGTTTGCTTGCTTGAAGCAATATTTTTTCTATTCCAGGCTCTTGAATGAAGAAATATACTTCATATTTTATGTTTCTGCCCTAAACAGAGATAGGAAACATGTTTAAAATGTATTCGCCAAAAGATCAGGAATTATGTGTCAGCAAACTTATGTTTGTTCAAGTTCAATTAAGTCAAGTAAACTTTAACTTGTTGTTATCAGTGCCGGTTTAAGGTAGTTTGACGCCCGGTGCTACAAAAACGCAGCGCCCCCCGACCGTTCGGAAAAAAACAAAACAATTTTTTTGGAGCATATATTTCAAAAAATGTATTCAATTCTTTTATACAGGGTGTCCCAGGGAAAACTGTCCATCTCGATTTATTGGATTTGTAATGAGAATTTCGAAAAACGCTCGGACACGTCGATTTTTGATTTGAGGAGGAACCATTTTTCAGTTTTTTTAACTCCCCTAGTTTTAACCCCCTAGCTGGGGGAGAACAAGCCCCCAAATTTGAATAGGGCATATTGGTAAGCGTTATTCAGTATCGTGGTAACATAATGTATAGTATTAGATAAGATTAGACTTATTGTTTGAATGGAGATGGCGCAGAGGCGTCCTCTACCACTGCAACCTAGTCAGATTTATTGTGGTATCTCGTATCGGTCCTTAAAGTGCGGTCTCTAGACATCTCCTTTTTATTAGACTCCAGGGCCATGATACTGGCCACTCCATGTAGCTTGCCGGAATGGGCTTTTTCAGCCCTCAAAGTTGGAATTTTCCCTAAATTTCATCCAAAATTTCAAGTTGAAATTGCTGAAAAACCACTGGTGGTACAAATATTTCTCAAATACCACATCAAAGCATTCAGTAAGAGCTACAATCTCAGAAAAATTTGGCACGATACCTCTTATGGATATTGAGATATTAGCTCTTCAATTATAACAGGTATATAAGGTAGAAAGCACTTTTGTTGGTACATACATAATATAGTGAAATGAATGTAAGTAATAAAAAATCAATCGGAAAATTTCAAATTTCCAATTTTACAGTCTGGAAACTCGTGTAAAATTGCCCTTTCATTGCTCAAAAACACAACTTCCATAGCCAAAATAGATCAAAAAAGCTATATAAATCATGAAAACAAATTTTCCAAACTTGAATTTTGTTTCTGGAAGTTGGCAGTTGATCTGAGATCTTTTTTTCCTGGAAAAATTAACTCAAACTTGAAACATTGAAAAGCCATCTTTTCCCCAATTTGGAAATAGGTCTGATTCTTGATCCCAATGTCCAAAATGAAAAAAACTTACCAGGATTCTTACCATGACTTCATATAATTCTGGATTCCAGTCACAAGTCTTGCAGATTTAAGCTTAAAACTCTCGGTTATTAGTGCTGCCCTATAACAAAAAGTTTATAATTTTACTAAAGAAAGTTTTATTTTCAATAACTTACCTTGTTAAGTTTCAAAATTGTAACTTCAAGCCCAATTTCCACACCACCCTAGAGGTACGAGCTGTCGGTGCGTTTTTTTTTTTCAAGTGCTTTCCCCGTTAGGCCTAATGCACTTTGAAATTACATTTGTACAGCCAAAACCGTCAACTATCCATCAATTCAACCTTCACTCGCCAGCTAGGAAGTCACCACTGCAAACACTTACCATGCTTACGGTGTATATTTAGTGCAACAAATGAGGTCCAGGACAACTATGGCATTAGGCTCCCCCGGGGCTTCCCTGCTTTAAAGATTCAGTCGAATCATGAACTGTTTTTCGGGAATTGACACATATGTAATTTCACCTGGAAGAGAAAAGTAATAAAAGTTTGGATCCATGCAGTCATGTCCATCATTGTCTAGTCGGTTGTGGCTACGTCTATCATTGTCAGTCATTTGTTTCAATGTCCACAAATCCTAGTTATTTTTCCCATGTCTAAAGTGGCTGTACAATGTCCAAAGTAATGATAAACTTAGCCTTTATTGATCCATTTGTATCATATCCATGACCAAAACCAGCTCATCACTTCATGGTTCAAAATTTGGAAAAGGGATGTCTGGAAAAACAACTTTATGTTAGTGAAAATTCAATGTTTTATATTAAAAATTACTTATTTATTCACCTTCAATATCCAACACCCAAAATACTAAAGCACTGATGTAGGTAGGTACAATAGAACCCCGGTTATCCAAAGTAACGTGGACTTCGGATAACTGAAAACTCGGATAATCCGAATGTACATATATGTATACCTATGAAGAGTGTAGGTAAATATTCGTGACTGGCCAGTTATAAACAGAAGTTATTTTCTGGCGTAGGCTAAATAGGTCTCAGAACTTTTATACCATGTATGGTATATTCTAGAAACTCGGTTAATACGGAGTATGGACCTCGGATTTTTGGGTCTTTAGACTGGCTCGATTAATCCAGAGCTCGGATAATCGAGGTTCTATTGTATATGTGAAAAATGTACTATTACCTTATTGTACTTACAAACCACAATTAGGATTTTTACCAGAAATAATTAATAGCCTATAATATTCTACTTGGGCTCAGAATGATTCTGGACTTTATTGGGTAACGGCTTACCTAAGAAATAGAAGTGACACAATTTTTATGGATATCAAACGAAAATGCACTTTTATACAATTTAATTTTTTCTGGAAAACTACTAGAGGGAAAATTGTGAAATTTTTAGGAGAAAAAGAGGAAAGTTAGGAGATCATCAGATTAAAATTTCAAACTTTTTCGGTGAAAAATAATAAAATGGGAAATATGTACTTATCTTTGTCAAAAATCCGTCTAGAAGAAGATTCTTATTTTAGACTCAAAGTCATCCGACGACTTCTGGATTCTATTTGTTTACAGGGGGGCTCACCTGAAAACAATAACACAGCGGCAGAAAAAATTGTTCATGGATATACAGGGTGATTAACGTAGCCCGTGCATTGGATTGCAGGTGGATTACATACACCATCTCTATTAATTCACCTGCAATCTGGAAAATTTAATGCACAAAGCAAGAAAAATTCCTCAAAAAATTCAACTCTCCACTCACTTCAGTTTTTGAGTGAAAAAATTGTTTGTATAGAGTATTACTTTACAAAACATCATTATTTAAAAAAAGTCATAACTCCATTAATAATAACTCAATTCAATCCCTTTGAGTTTTTAGTATTTTTAACAATGAATCTTCAGGAAAATGTCCTCAAAATTTCAACTCTACACTCATTTCAGTTTTTGAGTGAAAAAATTGTTTGTAGAGTGTTACTTTACAAAACAATATTATTTTGAAAAAGTCATAACTCCATTAATTATAACTCAATTCAATCCCTTTGAGTTTTTAATATTTTTTACATTGAAAATCTTTAGGAAAAAGTCCTCAACATTTCAACTCTACACTCACTTCAGTTTTTGATTGAAAAAATTATTTGTAGAGTATTACTTTACAAAACATCATTATTAGAAAAGTCATAACTCCATTAATAATAACTCAATTCAATCCCTTTGAGTTTTTAGTATTTTTTATATTGAATCTTTAGGAAAAAGTACTCAAAATTTCAACTCTACACTCACTTCAGTTTTTGAGTGAAAAAATTGTTTGTAGAGTATTACTTTCCAAAACATCATTATTTTAGAAAAGTCATAACTCCATTAATAATAACTCAATTCAATCCCTTTGAGTTTTTAGTATTTTTTACATTGAGTCTTTAGGAAAAGGTCCTCCAAATTTCAACTCTACACTCACTTCAGTTTTTGAGTGAAAATATTGTTTGTAGAGTATTACTTTACAAAACATCATTATTAGAAAAGTCATAACTCCATTAATAATAACTCAATTCAATCCCTTTGAGTTTTTAATATTTTTTACATTGAAAATCTTTAGGAAAAAGTCCTCAACATTTCAACTCTACACTCACTTCAGTTTTTGATTGAAAAAATTATTTGTAGAGTATTACTTTACAAAACATCATTATTAGAAAAGTCATAACTCCATTAATAATAACTCAATTCAATCCCTTTGAGTTTTTAGTATTTTTTATATTGAATCTTTAGGAAAAAGTACTCAAAATTTCAACTCTACACTCACTTCAGTTTTTGAGTGAAAAAATTGTTTGTAGAGTATTACTTTACAAAACATCATTATTTTAGAAAAGTCATAACTCCATTAATAATAACTCAATTCAATCCCTTTGAGTTTTTAGTATTTTTTACATTGAATCTTTGGGAAAAAGTCCTCAAAATTTCAACTCTACACTCACTTCAGTTTTTGAGTGGAAAAATTGTTTGTAGAGTATTCTTTACAAAACATCATTATTTTAGAAAAGTCATACTTAACTCCATTAATAATAACTCAATTCAATCCCTTTGAGTTTTTAGTATTTTTTAAATTGAATCTTTAGGAAAAAGTCCTTAAAATTTCAACTCTACACTCATTTCAGTTTTTGAGTGAAAAAAATGTTTGTAGAGTATTATTTTACAAAACATCATTATTTTAAAAAAGTCATAACTCCATTAATAATAACTCAATTCAATCCCTTTGTGAGTTTTTACGTACATCGGGCAGCTATGATTACGCTTAAGTGTAGGTCGAACATATACAGGGTGACAATTAGAAAAGCAGCAATCAGGAATATTTCTTAGACAAAAAATACTATTAGGGGATCAGATCTTAGATATATAACCTGTTGTATTATGGATAGAGGTAAATTCGCCCCAATGACCATGAGTTTCAACAGGTCTAGCCGCTCAGGTATAGCAGATAAGATTCTATAAGTATAAAAACATTATCTTATTTCAATTGTTGTCCTATATCCTATTTCCAATATAACCCCTCCTGTGTTGAAGATGGGGCTTGCCCCCCCCCTAATGATTTTTTTAAAATGAGAAACTACCCATTTGAAGCCGTGACC